TGGCTGCTTTTACTTCACTCTGCCGTCCGACTCATCCCAAACTATCCCAATTGGGTTGAGGTCAGGGAATTGTGGAGGCCAGGTCATCTGATGCAGCGCTCCATCACTCTCCTTCTTGGTAAAATAGCCCTTACACAGCCTGGAGGTGTGTTTGGTCATTGTCCTGTTGAAAAACAAATGATAGTCCCGCTAAGCCCAAACCAGATGGGATGGCGTATCGCTGCAGAATGCTGTGGTAGCCATGCTGGTTAAGTGTGCCTTGAATTCTAAATTAATCACAGACAGTGTCACCAGCAAAGCACCCCCACACCATAACACCTCCTCCTCCATGCTTTACGGTGGGAACTACACATGCGGAGATCATCCGTTCACCCACACCGGGTCTCACAAAGACACGGCAGTTGGAACCAAAAATATCCAATTTGGATTCCAGACCAAAGGACACATTTCCACCGGTCTAATGTCCATTGCTCGTGTTTCTTGGCCCAAGCAGGTCTCTTCTTATTATTGGTGTCATTTAGTCCTGGTTTCTTTGCAGCAATTCGACCATGAAGGCCTGATTCACACAGTCCCCTCTGAAAAGTTGATGTTGAGATGTGTCTGTGACTTGAACTTTGTGAAGCATTTATTTGGGCTGCAATTTCTGAGGCTGGTAACTCTAATGAACTTATCCTCTGCAGCAGAGGTAACTCTGGGTCTTCCATTCCTGTGGCAGTCATCATGAGAGCCAGTTTCACCATAGCGCTTGAACATTTCTAAACCAGTTTTCGCTTTGTGATTATGGGGTATTGTGTGTAGACTGATGAGTAAAACATGTATTTAATCCATTTTAGAATAAGTTTGCAAGTTCAATTAAAATTGTCCCGCTGGGCAGACTTTGCAGTTATCGTTTAAATTCAAGTATGACAACATAGTGTATATGGTTTATGCTAGTACTGGTAGTCAACAGTGTTTTGAATCTGGGGATGTTGGTCATAAGAGGCATGCTTGCCCGAAAAGGGAGAAGGCAGAGGGAGGGGCGCAGGTGGTCCACTGATGTAGGGAGAGGTGGGCCAACAGCGATAGAGCAGCCACAAGCACCTGTTGCTGAGGAACAAGTTATTTTTTGTTGAGGGTACTGAGTTGCAGCTTGGACCAGAGGGGATCATAGTGTCTGATGTGCAGCAGGAAAATATTGTTGTAGGACGTAAGAACGGATCTGGGGAGCCATTTCCCCAGACTGGGGAGGAGATGCCCAGTACGAGTGATGGGGTACAGGAGGGGGTTCAGGTGGAGCTAGTCTCCCAGGTAGTGGAGGAGATGCCCAGTATGAGTGATGGGGTTCAGGTGGAGCTAGTCTCCCAGGTAGTGGAGGAGATGTCCATTATGAGTGATGTGGTTCAGGTGGAGCTAGTCTCCCAGGTAGTGGAGGAGATGTCCATTATGAGTGATGGGGTTCAGGTGGAGCTAGTCTCCCAGGTAGTGGAGGAGATGCCCAGTACGAGTGATGGGGTACAGGAGGGGGTTCAGGTGGAGCTAGTCTCCCAGGTAGTGGAGGAGATGCCCAGTATGAGTGATGGGGTACAGGAGGGGGTTCAGGTGGAGCTAGTCTCCCAGGTAGTGGAGGAGATGCCCGGTACGAGTGATGGGGTTCAGGTGGAGCTAGTCTCCCAGGTAGTGGAGGAGATGTCCATTATGAGTGATGGGGTTCAGGTGGAGCTAGTCTCCCAGGTAGTGGAGGAGATGTCCATTATGAGTGATGGGGTTCAGGTGGAGCTAGTCTCCCAGGTAGTGGAGGAGATGCCCGGTACGAGTGATGGGGTACAGGAGGGGGTTCAGGTGGGGCTAGTCTCCCAGGTAGTGGAGGAGATGTCCATTATGAGTGATGGGGTACAGGAGGGGGTTCAAGTGGGGAGTGTTGAGAGGGATGTGGCAGAGGAGAGTCAGGGGTCTGTGGCATCAGTTCAGGAGGATCAGGAGAAAGATATGGACATTTCTGATATCCCTGTTGATATGATAGCAGCTGGCGATGACTCAATTTACAATCTAGATGAGGAAAATGGGTTCCTGGACCAGACTTTTGGGAAATCTGTTAAGTTGGCAGATTTTCTTTGATGTTGATAAGTTTGTGAGGTCAGCTGTGGTGTTACAGAAGACGGTGGGGTTAGACCAGTTGAGTGTGAAGAAGTGTTTCCGCTTGAGGAAACGTGTTACTGCTGTCATGGCAGCAAAAGGTGCTGGTGTTGTGGAAAATAACCACTATACTTTATTACAAATAAGGTCTTACAGAGTTTTTGTTGTTAACTATATGTTCATGATTAACTGAATTTTATCTGATAATCCATTAAAAATACACATCACTGGGAAACGTGGTAAGGTTAAGAGAAGATTAAAGCAATGATGATTATCATGCCTCATAGGGTGCTTTTTTTCTCTTTGTCTGGTTTCTCTGTGGTATCTTCTGTTTTTCCTTTCTCTTTTCTATATGGAGGTACTAAGGGTAGGTTCTCTCAATATCAATGGGGGAAGGGACAGGAATAAGAGGGCTTGGGTATTAGAAGTAATAAAACATAAAAGGCTTAATGTCGTTCTTCTACAGGAGACACATAGTGATGAGGCTAATGAGGTTGACTGGGGTATGTGGTGGGAGGGGCAGCATGTTACTCAGTCATGGTACTAATTTCAGTGCTGGGGTGGCAATCTTGTTTTCCCTCAGGACTTAGGGGTGACTGTGGTATCTACAACAGAGGGTTGGGTTTTATTGGTCAAGGCGGACGTTACGTTCTTCATTTATTTGTTTGTTTTATGTTTATGCTCCTAATGAGGGTTCAGAGCGTATTGCTGTATTTGATCAAATGAAGGAAACCTTAAGACAGTGTGACCAAGAGGGGTGTATGGTTTTAGGGGGGGACTGGAACTGTACAGTGGATTTGACTGTTGATCGGTCTGCTGAAGAACCTGCTCTGTCTAGTATTGAAGTTAAAGAGACTATCAGGGCCCTTGAACAGGACATCAAATCTATTGAATTGAAGTTGCTCACTCAGAATGACCCCGGACTAGTCATGAACTTACAGGTCAAGAGACATGAACTGAGGTCGTTTTTACATGCAAGAGTGGAGGGTGCCTTGATTAGGTCTCGCTTTGCTACCCACAAGGATATGGATGCTCCTAGCGCTTTTTTTTTTAACCTAGGGAAGTCGACATTGCAACACAAACAGATGGTCTGCCTTCGTCTCCCTGATGGGAAGGTGACCACAGATGACGGTGAGATGCGCCAACATGCCGTGGATTTCTACTCTGCCCTCTACAAGGAGGAGGATTGTGATCCTCTGTGTACTGAACAGTTGCTACATGGACTTCCTCAATTGGGCCCTGAGCAGAGAGCTGCTTTGGACTCTGACATCACTCTGCAGGTCCACAGCAGTTATGCAGCTCTCATCAGGCCGAGCCCCTGGCGTCGATGGTTTACCATCTGATTTATAGAAGCACTTTTGGGGGTCTATTGGGGGGGATTTTTATGAAGTGGTGTGTGAATCTTTTCATGAGGGTTCTCTTCCTGTATCCTGTCAATGTGCTATGCTTTCATTTTACAGCCACCGGGGGCCTGATACAAGAGCTTCAGAAGACCTTTGTCACTTTCTTCTGGTCTGGACAACACTGGATTAAACTTCAGCCCTGTACCTGCCACTGCACCAGGGTGGGCAAGGCCTCAGCCCTGTACCTGCCACTGCACCAGGGTGGGCAAGGCCTCAGCCCTGTACCTGCCACTGCACGAGGGTGTCAAGGCCTAGTGGACATTTCTTCCAGGATCATGGCATTCCGGCTTCAAGCAGCCCAGAGACTGTTGTACAGTGATGGTTCTAGCTGGGTTGACACAGCCTACGCATTGATGAGGAGAGCGGGCTGTTTGGGCTTAGACAAGCACCTTTTCCTCTTAAAGCTAGAGGAGGGTGATTTGTCTGGCCTGACTCCATTCTATGAGTCTGTTATGAGGCTTGGAGAGGCTAGAGGGGATTGATTTGTCTGGCCTGACTCCATTCTATCAGTCTGTTATGCGGCTTTGGGAGAGTTTTCAATATCATGTAAGGCTGGCACGCCACCAGGGATGTGGCTTTTTGAAGAGCCTGTTTTTTATAACACTACCATCCAGTCCTGTGCTATGGGTTCAGCCAGCCTACGTTCATGCCTGTTAGGTGTGGGGTGTACCAAGCTGGGTCATCTGATGCGGAGCAGGAGCAGACCGTTGGAGGAGCTGGGAGAAAGAGTGGGGATCCGATCATTTCGCCTACTGAGAAAGGTTGTAGCTGAGGTCTGCGATTCCTTGCCAGTACTTCATCGGCAGTATGTGACTGACTAAATTCTGATCGGTGGGCGGAGGGTCTGGATTATGTGTTCGCTGCACTGAATGTTAGTGCTGCGGTGGGGGCATTCGAGGAGGACGTGGGGATGCTGCTTTCCTTCGATACTCCGGAGCTGGGGGAGTTCAAGGAGGTGGGAAAGAAGGCCATGTACATAATATGTGTAAAAGTGTCTCGTTCTTCTTCCCATGAAGGGGTCAAATCGACAAGGTGGGCGGGTGTGTTTGGTCCAGGTGCCTCCCCAAAAGGCTGTTGGCGGTCTTTATATAAACTGCCTATTGATAAGAGGACAGCTGACCTCCAATGGAGGATAATACATGGAGCCATAGCCACCAACATGCATCTGGTACACATGGATCCTACTGTTTTTAAATGATGTTTAACCATGTTTTTGCTTGTTTGAATGTTTATTGTGTTGTGGGTTCCCAGACCCAATTTAACATTTTTTAAAAACTCTATCTCTCCTCTCTCATCGTCTCTCTCTCGTCTCAATCTCGTCTCTCTCCTCTCTCTCATTCTCTGCATCCTCTCTCCTCTATCTCTCTCTCTCTATCTCTCTCTCTTCTCTCTGCTCTCTCTCTACAGTTCCCGGGGTGTACGACAGTTCTGTTAGGGTTATGTTTGCGTCTGTATAATCCAGTTTGTTGTTCTCTCTCCAGTCAGCGGTACTGTATCTGTAACCCCGGGGTGGTACGACAGTTCCGTAACCCCGACACCATCTTCATCCTGGCCTTCGCCATCATCCTCCTCAACACTGACATGTACTCTCCCAACGTTAAGCCAGAGAGGAAGATGAAGCTGGAGGACTTCATCAAGAACCTCCGAGGTACAGTAGAAATGAAATCCATTGAGGTAGTCAGGGTAACTGTACTTCCTGAACTCTCTCTAATAGAACCTATTCATACGACTTGATGAATGTCCCTGTCTAGAAGGTATATATTATATTGTGTCATGGCTAAGCAGTGGAACTCAAGCAAAGCAGAACAGAACGACATTTCTCTGACTATACAGTGCATTAGGAAAGTATTCAGACCCCTTGACTTTTTCCACATTTTGATACGTTACAGCCTTATTCTAAAATTGATAAAATTCAGAAATACCTTATGTAAATAGGTATTCAGACCCTTTGCTATGTGACTTGAAATTGAGCTCAGGTGCATCCTTTCCATTGATCATCCTTGAGATGTTTCTACAACTTGATTGGAGTCCACCTGTGGTAAATTTAATTGATTGGACATGATATGGAAAGGCACACACCTGTCTATATAAGGTCCCACAGTTGACAGTGCATGTCAGAGCCAAAACCAAGCCATGAGGTCGAAGGAATTGTCCGTAGAGCTCAGAGACAGGATTGTGTCGAGGCACAGATCTGGGGAAGGGTACCAAAACATTTCTGCATCATTGAAGGTCCCCAAGAACACAGTGGCCTTCATCATTCTTAAATGGAAGAAGTTTGGAACCACCAAGACTCTTCCTAGAGCTGGCCACCCGGCCAAACTGAGCAATCGGGGGAGAAGGGCCTTGGTCAGGGAGCTGAACATAGGTCCATAGTTATTCTGTGGAGATGGGAGAACCTTCCAGAAAGACAGCCATCTCTGCAGCACTCCACCATTCAGGCCGTTATGGGTAGAGTGGCCAGACGGAAGCCACTCCTCAGTAAAAGGCACATGACAGCCCGCGTGGCAGGGACTGGGAGACTAGTCAGGATCGAGGGAAAGATGAATGGAGCAAAGTACAGAGAGATCCTTGATGAAAATCTGCTCCAGAGCGCTCAGGACCTCAGACTGGGGCGAAGGTTCACCTTCCAACAGGACAACAACCCTAAGCACACAGCCAAGACAACGCAGGAGTGGCTTCGGGACAAGTCTCTGAATGTCCTTGAGTGGCCCAGCCAGAGCCCGGACTTGAACCCCATCGAACATCTCTGGAGAGACCTGAAAATAGCTGTGCAGCAACGCTCCCCATCCAACCTGACAGAGCTTGAGTGGATCTGCAGAGAAGAATGGGAGAAACTCCCCAAATACAGGTGTGCCAAGCTTGTAGTGTCATACAAAGAAGACTCGAGGCTGTAAATGCTGCCAAAGGTGCTTCAACAATGTACTGAGTAAAGGGTCTGAATACTTATGTAAATGTGATATTTCAAAAAAATATATTTACATTTGCAAACATTTCTACAAACCTGTTTTTTGCTTTGTCATTATGGGGTATTGTATGTCGATTGATGAGGGGGAAAAAACAATTTAATCAATTTTAGAATAAGGCTGTAACGTAACAAAATGTGGAAAAGTGAAGGGGTCTGAATACTTTCCGAATGCACTGTATTTGTATGCCACCAATAAAATTTGATTTGATTAGATTTTGACTAGTGGAGAAGCAGAGTGATTCAAACTCACCCGTAATCGGAGGAGAAAAGATACTTTACAAAGGGAAATACAGTATGGTATGTACCCTAGTTGGAGATGCTGATAGGCTTAGATACCAGAGATTAGAGTTAGGGTTAGTTGTAACATTGTATCACCTTTTTCTCCAGGTGTGGATGATGGAGGGGACATCCCACGGGAGATGCTGACAGGTATATATGAGAGGATCAGGAAGAGAGAGCTTAAAACCAACGAAGATCACATCTCTCAGGTCCAGAAGGTCGAGAAACTCATTGTTGGGAAGAAACCGGTGAGTTTAGACCCTTTGCTGCCATCAACATATTTCTACAGGTCACAGCGATGGTTCTTCCTCTGTGTCTTGAAGAAGCCAGTATGTTGGACTCTTATTAATCCCAGGTCCTCCATGACACACGACTCAGTTAGAGCTAAAGGTAAATTACAGCTAGCGGACACATTTAGTTCGCAAATAGATTACATTAAAGAGTCGCCTTGCCTGAGACCTGAAGACTTGTGCAAGTTCGAAAGTCTTCAGGTGTCAGTCAAGGTTGCTCTGTGATGTAATGGGCCTGGTCTAATCTCTTTCTGAGCTTTTACATTTACATTTACATTTTAGTCACTTAGCAGACGCTCTTATCCAGAGAGACTTACAGTTAGTGCGTTCATCTTAAGATAGATAGGTGGGAAAACCACATATCTCAGTCATAGTAAGTTTTTCCTCAATAAAGTAGCTATCAGCAAAGTCAGTGCTAGTAGGGGGGAAAAGTCAATGCTAGTATGGGGGAAAAGTCAATGCTAGTAGGGGGGAAAAGTCAGTACTAGTAGGGGGGAAAAGTCAGTACTAGTAGGGTGGAAAAGTCAGTACTAGTAGGGGGGAAAAGTCAGTGCTAGTAGGGGGGAAAAGTCAGTACTAGTAGGGGGGAAAAGTCAGTGCTATTAGGGGGGAAAAGTCAGTACTAGTAGGGTGGAAAAGTCAGTACTAGTAGGGGGGGAAAGTCAGTACTAGTAGGGTGGAAAAGTCGGGTACTGGTAGGGGGAAAAGTCAGTACTAGTAGGGGGGAAAAGTCAGTACTAGTAGGGGGGAAAAGTCAGTACTAGTAGGGGGGAAAGGTCAGTGCTAGTAGGGGGGAAAAGTCAGTACTAGTATGGGGGAAAAGTCAGTACTAGTAGGGGGGAAAAGTCGTACTAGTAGGGGGGAAAAGTCAGTACTGGTAGGGGGAAAAGTCAGTACTGGTAGGGGGGAAAAGTCAGTGCTAGTAGGGGGAAAAGTCAGTACTAGTAGGGTGGAAAAGTCAGTACTAGTAGGGGGGAAAAGTCAGTACTAGTAGGGGGGAAAGGTCAGTGCTAGTAGGGGGAAAAGTCAGTACTAGTAGGGGGGAAAAGTCAGTACTAGTAGGGGGGAAAAGTCAGTACTAGTAGGGGGGGAAAAGTCAGTACTAGTAGGGGGGAAAAGTCAGTACTAGTAGGGGGAAAAGTCAGTACTGTAGCGGGGAAAAAGTCAGTGCTAGTAGGGGGGAAAGGTCAGTTGTAGTAGCGGGGAAAAGTCAGTACTAGTAGGGGGGAAAAGTCAGTACTAGTAGGGGGGGAAAATTCAGTACTAGTAGGGGGGAAAAGTCAGTACTAGTAGGGGGGAAAAGTCAGTGCTAGTGGGGGGGGAAAAGTCAGTACTAGTAGGGGGAAAAGTCAGTACTAGTAGGGGGAAAAGTCAATGCTAGTAGGGGGGAAAAGTCAGTACTAGTAGGGGGGAAAGGTCAGTGCTAGTAGGGGGGAAAGTCAGTACTAGTAGGGGGGAAAAGTCAGTACTAGTAGGGGGAAAAGTCAGTACTAGTAGGGGGAAAAGTCAGTACTAGTAGGGGGGAAAAGTCAGTACTAGTAGGGGGGAAAAGTCAGTACTAGTAGGGGGAAAAGTCAGTACTAGTAGGGGGGAAAAGTCAAGCTAGTAGGGGGGGAAAAGTCAGTACTGGTAGGGGGAAAAATAACAAAGTACTAGTAGGGGGGAAAATCAGTACTAGTAGGGGGGAAAAGTCAGTACTAGTAGGGGAAAGTCAGTACTAGTAGGGGGAAAAGTCAGTACTAGTAGGGGGGGAAAGGTCAGTGCTAGTAGGGGGAAAAGTCAACTACTAGTAGGGGGGGGAAAAGTCAGTTACTAGTAGGGGGGAAAAGTCAGACTAGTAGGGGGAAAAGTCACTATAGTAGGGGGAAAAGTCAGTACTAGTAGGGGGAAAAGTCAGTACTAGTAGGGGGGAAAGGTCATTTGTAATTGGGGGGAAAGGTCAGTGCTAGTAGCGGGGAAAAGTCAGTACTAGTAGGGGGGAAAAGTCAGTACTAGTAGGGGGGAAATGTCAGTCTTAGTAGGGGGGAAAAGTAAGTACTAGTAGGGGGGAAAAGTCAGTGCTAGTAGGGGGGAAAGGTCAGTACTAGTAGGGGGGAAAAGTCAAGTACTAGTAGGGGGGAAAAGTCAGTACTAGTAGGGGGGAAAGTCAGTCTAGTATGGGGGAAAAGTCAGTACTAGTAGGGGGGAAAAGTCAGTACTAGTAGGGGGGAGGAAAAGTCAGTACTAGTAGGGGGGAAAAGTCAGTACTGTAGGGGGGAAAAGTCAGTACTAGTAGGGAGGGAAAAGTCAATGCTAGTATGGGGTGAAGAAGTCAGTACTAGTAGGGGGGAAAGTCGACTAGTAGGGGGGAAAAAGTCAAGACTCGTAGGGGGGGAAAGTCAGTGCTAGTAGGGGGAAAAAGTCCAGTATATAGTAGGGGGGAAGTCAGTGCTAGTTGTAAGGGGGAAAATCAGTATAGTAGGAGGAAAAGTCAGTGCTAGTAGGGGGGAAAAGTCAGTGCGGTAGGGGGGAGGAAAAGTCCACGTGCTAGTAGGGGGGAAAAAGTCAGTACTATAGGGGGAAAAAGTCAGTACAAGTACTTTAGTAGGGGGGAAAAGTCAGTGCTAGTAGGGGGGGAAAAGTCAGTACTGTAAGGAGGAACGTCAGTACTAGTAGGGGGAAAAGTCAGTGCTAGTCGGGGGGAAAAAGTAAGTTTAGTAGGGGGGAAAAGTAAGTAATAGTAGGGGGGAAAAGTCAGTACTAGTAGGGGGGAAGGAGAAAGTCGACTAGTAGGGGGGAAGAAAGTCAGTACTAGTAGGGGGGAAAGTCAGTGCTAGTGGGGGGAAAAGTCAGACTAGTAGGGGGAAAAGTCATTGTTCGTAGTGGGGGAAAAGTCAGTGCTCGTAGGGGGGGAAAGTCAATACTAGTAAGGGGGAAAAGTCCAGATTGTCTAGCCCAGCTGATTTGTAGGTTTCCAGCTTTTGCAGCTCTTTCAGGACATCAGCTATCTGAATTTGTGTGAAGGAGAAGCGGGGGGGGCATGGGCAAGTTGCAGCGAAGGGTCCAGAGCTGGTGGCCGTGGTAGGGGTAGCCAAGTGGAAAGCATGGCCAGCCGTAGCAAAATGCTTATTGAAATTCTCGATTATCGTAGATTTTTGGGTGGTGACAGTGTTTCCTAGCCTCAGTGCAGTGGGCAGCTGGGATGAGGTGCTCTTATTCTCCATGGACATTACAGTGTCCCAAAACTTTTTGGAGTTAGTGCTACAGGATGCAAATTTCTGTTTGAAAAAGATAGCCTTTGCTTTCCTAACTGATTGTGTATATTGGTTCCTGACTTCCCTGAAAAGTTGCATATCGCGGGGGCTGTTCGATGCTAATGCAGTATGCCACAGGATGTTTTTGTGCTGGCTAAGGGCAGTCAAGTCTGAGGAGAACCAAGGGCTATATCAGTTCTTAGTTCTGAATTTTTTGAATGGGGCATGCTTATTCAAGATTGAGAGGAAAGCACTTTTAAAGAACAACCAGGCATCCTCTACTGACGGAATGAGATCGATATCCATCCAGGATACCTGGGCCAGGTCAATTAGGAAGGCCTGCTCGCTAAAGTGTTTTAGGGAGTGTTTGACAGTGATGAGGGGTGGTCGTTTGACCGCGGACCCGTTACGGACACAGGCAATAAGGCAGTGATTGCTGAGATCCTGGTTGAAGACAGCGGAGGTGTATTTAGAGGGTAAGTTAGTCAGGATGATATCTATGAGGTTACCCATGAAAACGGATTTAGGGATGTACCTGGTAGGTTCCTTGATAATTTGTGTGAGATTGAGGACATCGAGTTTAGATTGTAGGACGGCCGGGGTGTTAAGCATATCCCAGTTTAGGTCACCAAGCAGTTCGAACTCTGGGGATAGATGGGGGGCAAGCAATTCACATATGGTGTCCAGGGCACAACTGGGGGCTGAGGGGGGTCTGTAGCGAGCGGCAACAGTGAGAGACTTATTTCTGGAAAGGTGAATTTTTAGAAGTAGAAGCTCAAACTCTTTGGGCACAGACCTGGATAGTATGATAGAGCTCTGCAGGCTATCTCTACAGTAGATTGCAACCCCGCCCCCTTTGGCAGTTCTATCTAGACGGAAAATGTTGTAATTCGGGATGGACATTTCTGAATTTTTGGTGGCCTTCCTAAGCCAGGATTCAGACACTGCTAGAACATCAGGGTTGGCAGAGTGTGCTAACGCAGTGAATAACTCAAACTTGGGGAGGAGGCTTCCGATGTTAACATGCAAGAAACCAAGGCTTTTACGGTTACAGAAGTCAACAAATGATAGCACCTGGGGAGTAGGAGTGATACTGGGCTACAGGGCCTGGGTTAACCTCTACATCACCAGAGGGACAGAGGAGGAATAGAATAAGGATACGACTAAAGGCTTTAAGAACTGGTCTTCTAGTGCGTTGGGTACAGAGAATAAAAGGGGCAGATTTCCGGGCGTTGTAGAATAGATTCAGGGCATTATGTACAGACAAGGATATGGAAGGATATGAGTACAGTGGAGGTACACCTAAGCATTGGGTAACGATGAAAGAGATAGCATCACTGGATGTACCAATTGAGCCGGTCTCCGCGTGTATGGAGAGTGGGACAAAGGAGCTCTCTGAGGCTGGTTGAGTGGGACTGGGGGCTCTACGGTGAAATAGTACAATAAGATCTAGCCCAAACAGCAATAGGCAAGGCATATTGACATGGGAGAGAGGCATAAAGCAATCACAGGTGTTATTCGAGAGAGCTAAGACAACAACTGGTAATGGCAATGAAAGTTTGGGCTGAGGCTAAACAGATAAAACAGGACAGGGTACCGTGTAAAGGAACAGTCCAGCAGGCATCAGCTGTGCAGCTGAGTGATCATAAGGTCCAGTGAACAGCAATGTGAGTCTGAGAGCAGTTCGAATTGGTGCTACAGCACAGGCGATCAGGAAGCATGGCTGTTGAATTGCGTGTGCTAGCGGGCCAGGGCTAGCAGATGGATCTTCGTGGTCGTCGCAACGGGAAGCCTGTTGAAACCACAGACGATTACGTCGGCAGACCAGTCGTGATGGATCGGCGGGGCTCCGTGTCGACACTAGGAGGTCCCGTCCGGTTGACAGAGAGGTAGATAGCCGGGAGATGGGCCTGACTCGAGGCTAGCTCAAGGCTGATAAGCCAACCACAACATCAATTTGGTTGCAGCTAGCTAGTTGCGATGATCCGGTGTTAAAGGTCCAGTGATTCAGTGATTCCGGCAGATAATCCGATATGTTCTGGGTCGATAACGCGCTGTGCAGACTGGCCGATAATAGTCCAGGCTAGAGCTGGCTGGTAGGTAGTGCAGGCCACGGACAATGGTGAAAAAACCCAGCTAACGGTGGCTAATAGCAAGTAGCTAGTTAGCTGGCTACTCCCGTCCGGTTGACAGAGAGGTAGATAGCCGGGATATGGGCCTGGCTTGAGGCTAGCTCAAGGCTAACTGGTGCTTGCTTCGGGGGCAGTGGTGATTAGCCAACAGCAACATCCATTCGGTTGCGGCTAGCTGATTGCGATCCGGTTTTAAGGTCCAGTGATTCAGTTATTCCGGCAGAAAATCCGATGTTCTGGGTGAAAAACCGCTAACGGTGGCTAATAGCAAGTAGCTAGTTAGCTGGCTAGCTAGTTTCTACTGGAGATTCTAGATAAAAGGTAAGTAAATAATAGAATCCGTTCCACATTGAGTGAGGCGGGTTGCAGGAAAGTATATTTAGTAGAAGGATGAAAAGTGTGGTAGGGGAATATATACAACAAAAGACAAAGAAAAGACAAAAAACAGGCTATTTACACGGACACACAAGAGTACATGACCGCACTGCTAAGCCATCTTGGATCAACATGACTATGAAGAGACCTCTGGTGGCATGTCTTGTGGGGTATGCATGGGTGTCCGGGTTCATTCAACATGTCAATACTTCTCACAAATACAAGTAGTGATGAAGTCAATCTCTCCTCCACTTTGAGCCAGGAGAGATTCAGAAGCATATTATTAATGTTAGCTCTCTGTGTACATCCAAGGGCCAGCCGTCCTGCCGTGTTCTGAGCCAATTGCAATTTTCCTAAGTCCCTCTTTGTGGCACCTGACCACACGACTGAACAGTATTCCAGGTGTGACAAAACTAGGGCCTGTAGGACCTGCCTTGTTGATAGTGCTGTTAAGAGTGCAGAGCAGCGCTTTATTATAGACATACTTTTCCCCATCTTAGCTACTGTTGTATCAATATGTTTTGACCATGACAGTTTACAATCCAGGGTTACTCCAAGCAGTTTAGTCTCCTCATCTTGCTCAATTTCCACATTATTCATTAGAAGATTTAGTTGATGTTTAGGGTTTAGGAAATGATTTGTCCCAAATACAATGCTTTTGGTTTTTGACATATTTAGGACTAACTTATTCCTTGCCACCCATTCTGAAACTAACTGCAGCTCTTTGTTAAGTGTTGCTGTTATTTCAGTCGCTGTGGTAGCTGACGTATATAGTGTTGAGTCATCCATATACATAAATACACTGGCTTTACTCAAAGCCAGTGGCATGTCGTTAGTAAAGATTTAAAAAAGTAAGGAGCCTAGAAAGCTGCCCTGGGGAATTCCTGATTCTACCTGGATTTTGTTGAAGAGGCTTCCATTAAAGAAAACCCTCTGTGTTCTGTTAGACAGGTAACTCTTTATCCACAATTTAGCAGGGGGTGTAAAGCCATAACACATATGTTTTTCCAGCAACAGACTATGATTGATAATGTCAAAAGCCGCAATGAAGTCAAACAAAACAGCCCCCACAATCTTTTTATCATCAATTTCACTAAGCCAATCATCAGTCTTTGTTGAATGTCCTTCCCTATAAGCGTGCTGAAAGTCTGTTGTCAAATTGTTTACTGTAAAATAGCATTTTATCTGGTCAAACACAATGTTTTCCAAAAGTTTACTAAGGGTTGGTAACAGGCTGATTGGTCGGCTATTTGAGCCAGTTAAGGGGGCTTTACTATTCTTAGGTAGGGTAATAACTTTTGCTTCCCTCCAGGCCTGAGGGCACACACTTTCTAGTAGGCTTAGATTGAAGATGTGGCAATATCGTCCACTAATGTCCTCAGTAATTTTCCATCCAAGTTGTCAGACCCCGGTGGCTTGTCATTGTTGATCAACAACAATCCTTTTTTCACCTCTTCCACACTCACTTTACGGAATTCCAAATTACAATGTTTGTCTTTCATAATTTGGTCAGATATACTTGGATGTGTAGTGTCAGTGTTTGTTGCTGGCATGTCATGCCAAAGTTGGCTAATCTTGCCAATTAAAAAATCATTAAAGTAGTTGGCAATATCAGTGGGTTTTGATGAATGAGCCATCTGATTCAATGAATGATGGAGCTCAGTTTGCCTTTTTGCCCAACATTTCATTTAAGGTGCTCCAAAGCTGTTTCATAGTGTAGTTTCTTCTTTTTATTCAGTTTAGTCACATGATATCGCAATTTGCAGTACGTTTGCCAGTCGGTTGTGCAGCCAGACTTATTTGCCATTATTTTTGCCTCATCCCTCTCAACCATACAATGTTTCAATTCCTCATCAATCCACTGGGATTTAACAGTTTTTACAGTCATTTAATGGGTGCATGCTTATTAGGGATAAGCAATTTCATAAATGTGTCAAGTGCAGTGTCTGGTTGCTTGTCATTACACACCACATACCAACACATTTTCTTCACATCCACAACATAGGAATCACTACAGAACTTATTGTATGACCTCTTATACACTATATTAGGCCCAGCCTTTGGAACTTTGTTTTTCCTTGATATGGCTACTATATTGTGATCACTACATCCAATGGATCTGGATACTGCTTTCAAACACATTTCTGCAGCATTAGTAAAGATATGATCAATACATGTTGATGATTTCATTCCTGTACTGTTTGTAACCACCCTGGTAGGTTGACTGATAACCTGAACCAGGTTGCTGCCACTGGTTACAGTTTGAAGCTTTCTCTTGAGTGGGCAGCTTGATGAAAGCCAGTTAATATTTAAATCACCCAGAAAGTATACCTCTCTATTGATATCACATACATTATCAAGCATTTCACACAGGTTATCCAGATACTGACTGTTAGCACTTAGTGGTCTATAGCAGCTTCCCACCAGAATGGGCTTTAGGTGAGGCAGATGAACCTGTAGCCATATTACTTCAACAGTATTTAACATTATATTCTCTCTAAGCTTTACAGGAATGTGGTTCTGAATATAGACTGCAACACCGCCCCCGCTGGCATTTCTGTCTTTTCTGTAAATGTTATGACCTGGTATTGCTACCACTGTATCATCAAAGGTATTATCTAAGTGAGTTTCAGAGATTGTCATGCCCAGACCTTTAAATGCCTGTTGTTTCTCGTTGGTTTGGTCAGGGTGTGAATTTCTATGTGTATATCTATGGTGTGTATTTCTATGTGGACATTCTATGTTTGTAGATCTATGTTGGCCGGTGTGGTTCCCAATCAGAGACAGCTGTCGTTCGTTGTCTCTGATTGGGGATCATACTTAAGTAGCCATTTTGCCTACCTATGTTGTGGGATCTTGACTCTTGTTTGGGCTTGTTTGTGTGTAGCCATTGTGAGCTTCACGTTACGTTGCTTTTACATTTACATTTACATTTTAGTCATTTAGCAGACGCTCTTATCCAGAGCGACTTACAGGAATAAGTGCCTTGCTCAAGGGCACATCAACAGATTTTTCACCTAGTCGTCTCAGGGATTAGAACCAGCGACATTTCGGTTACTGCCACAACCCTATTAACCACTAAGCTACCTGCCGCCCGCTTTTGTTGTTTTGTCGTGTGTTTACTTAGTTAATAAACATGTACGCATTCCACGCTGCACCTTGGTCCAATCCTGTATTCAACGAACGTGACAGAAGATCCCACCACCAACGGACCAAGCAGCGTGGCCAGGAGGAGCAGACACCCTGGACACAGGTGGGGAAGACGTGGTCTTGGGAGGAGATATTTGCTGGTAAAGGACCCTGGGCGAAGGTAGAAGCACAGGTAGGAGAGGATCAACGGCAACCGTGCCGACAACGAAGGAAGCCCGAGAGACAGCCCCAAGAACATTTTTTGGGGGGGGCACACAGGGTGGTCGACGAAGCAGCAGGAGGCCGTGAAAGGGCTGACTGTAGAGGAGGAGGCCGCTATTTTAGAGGTCCTCCAAGACCTGCGGATCAGCAGTTTGAGAGAGGAGGCCACCACATTACAGGGGCTGATAGGGAGAATAGAGCAGGAGAGGAGGCGCTGCAGGAGGCCCGTAGTGAGAAGGAATTAGTGGATCCACGGAGAGAGGAGCTGGCCAGGCAACAGAAGGAGCGTGTGTTCATTGAGGAACCAAGTTATGCGGAGATACGCATTGTGTCGCCAGTGCGCATTCACAGCCCAGTGCGTCCTGTGCCAGCGCCCCGCACGTGCCGTGCGAAAGTGGGCATCCAGCCAGGACGGGTTGTGCCAGCTTTACACTCCAGACCTCCAGTACGCCTCCACAGTCCCGTACCTGCTCCCCGCACCAAACCAGTGGTGCGTGTCTCCAGTCCGGTATGGCCCGTACCTGCTCCCCGCACCAAACCAGTGGTTATAGCATAGTTATATGCAACAGGTCAGCACCTCAGGAATGGTGCGGAAGGAGATGGCTACCGTTTTACGGGCTCCTAACCAATTGTGCTATTGTGTGTTTTTTTGCGTTATTTATCATTTATTCTGTACATAATGTTTCTGCCACTGTCTCTTATGACCAAAAATAGCTTCTGGATAACAGGACAGCGATTACTCACCTCGTACTGGACAAATATTTTCTCTTTAACGAGTCGGACGCGAAGGATTTTCTTCAGACACCTGACAAGGCCCAAATCCCCATCATTCGTATGAGAAAGAGACGGAGATATCAGGGACGTAGGTCGGGGTGCCTTGTAAGGATCTGACGGAGAGTGCATAATCTGCCTCCATCATTACACTTTTACATTTTAGTCAATTAGCAGACGCTCTTATCCAGAGCAACTTACAGTTAGTGAGTGCATAAATTTTTCATACTGGCGCCCGTGGGAATCGAACCCACAACCCATGCGCCATGGTCTACCAACTGAGCTACAGGAGGCCTATTAGCCAATCATACAATCATTGGATAACAAAATAGACAAACTAAGATCACGGATATCCTACCAACGGGACATTAAAATATAATATATTATGTTTCACCGAGTCAAGGCTGAATGACAATATGGATAACATATAGCTGGCGGGATATACAGTGAGGGAAAAAAGTATTTGATCCCCTGCTGATTTTGTATGTTTGCCCACTGACAAAGACATGATCAGTCTGTAATTTTAATGGTAGGTTTATTTGAACAGTGAGAGACAGAATAACAACATTCAAATCCAGAAAAACGCATGTCAAAAATGTTATAAATTGATTTGCATTTTAATGAGGGAAATAAGTATTTGACCCCTCTGCAAAACATGACTTAGTACTTGGTGGCAAAACCCTAGTTGGCAATCACAGAGGTCAGACGTTTCTTGTAGTTGGCCACCAGGTTTGCACACATCTCAGGAGGGATTTTGTCCCACTCCTCTTTGCAGATCTTCTCCAAGTCATTAAGGTTTCGAGGCTGACGTTTGGCAACTCGAACCTTCAGCTCCCTCCACAGATTTTCTATGGGATTAAGGTCTGGAGACTGGCTAGGCCACTCCAGGACCTTAATGTGCTTCTTCTTGAGCCACTCCTTTGTTGCCTTGGCCGTGTGTTTTGGGTCATTGTCATGCTGGAATACCCATCCACGACCCATTTTCAATGCCCTGGCTGAGGGAAGGAGGTTCTCACCCAAGATTTGACGGTCCATCGTCCCTTTGATGCGGTGAAGTTGTCCTGTCCCCTTAGCAGAAAAACACCCCTAAAGCATAATGTTTCCACCTCCATGTTTGACGGTGGGGATGGTGTTCTTGGGGTCATAGGCAGCATTCCTCCTCCTCCAAACACGGCGAGTTGAGTTGATGCCAAAGAGCTCGATTTTGGTCTCATCTGACCACAACACTTTCACCCAGTTCTCCTCTGAATCATTCAGATGTTCATTGGCAAACTTCAGACGGGCCTGTATATATGCTTTCTTGAGCAGGGGGACCTTGCGGGCGCTGCAGGATTTCAGTCCTTCATGGCGTAGTGTGTTACCAATTGTTTTCTTGGTGACTATGGTCCCAGCTGCCTTGAGATCATTGACAAGATCCTCCCGTGTAGTTCTGGGCTGATTCCTCACCGTTCTCATGATCATTGCAACTCCACGAGGTGAGATCTTGCATGGAGCCCCAGGCCGAGGGAGATTGACAGTTCTTTTGTGTTTCTTCCATTTGCAAATAATCGCACCAACTGTTGTCACCTTCTCACCAAGCTGCTTGGCGATGGTCTTGTAGCCCATTCCAGCCTTGTGTAGGTCTACAATCTTGTCCCTGACATCCTTGGAGAGCTCTTTGGTCTTGGCCATGGTGGAGAGTTTGGAATCTGATTGATTGATTGCTTCTGTGGACAGGTGTCTTTTATACAGGTAACAAGCTGAGATTAGGAGCACTCCCTTTAAGAGTGTGCTCCTAATCTCAGCTCGTTACCTGTATAAAAGACACCTGGGAGCCAGAAATGTTTCTGATTGAGAGGGGGTCAAATACATATTTCCCTAATTAAAATGCAAATCAATTTATAACATTTTTGACATGCGTTTTTCTGGATTTGTTTGTTGTTATTCTGTCTCTCACTGTTCAAATAAACCTACCATTAAAATTATAGACTGATCATGTCTTTGTCAGTGGGCAAACGTACAAAATCAGCAGGGGATCAAATACTTTTTTCCCTCACTGTACGCTGCATCGGCAAGATAGAACAGCTGCCTCTGGTAAGACAAGGGGAGGCGGTCTGTGTATATTTGTAAACAACAGCTGGTGCACGAAATCTAATATTAAGGAAGCAACCTGCCTAAATGACTACCGACCCGTAGCACTGACGTCTGTAGCCATGAAGTGCTTTGAAAGGCTGGTCATGGCTCACATCAACACCATTATCCCAGAAACCCTAGACCCACTCCAATTTGCATACCGCCCCAACAGATCCACAGATGATGCAATCTCTATTGCACGCCACACTGCCCTTTCCCACCTGGACAAAAGAAACACCTACGTGAGAATGCTATTCATCGACTACAGCTCAGCGCTCAACACCATAGTGCCCTGAAAGCGCATCACTAAGCTAAGGATCCTGGGACTAAACACCTCCCTCTGCAACTGGATCCTGGACTTCCTGACAGGCCGCCCCTAGGTGGTAAGGGTAGGTAACAACACATCTGCCAAACTGATCCTCAACACGGGGGACCCTCAAGGGTGCATGCTCAGTCCTCTCCTGTACTCCCTGTTCACCCATGACTGCATGGCCAGGCATGACTCCAACACCATCATTAAGTTTGCCGACGACACAACAGTGGTAGGCCTGATCACCGACAACGATGAGACAGCCTATAGGGAGGAGGTCAGAGACCTGGCCGTGTGGTGCCAGGACAACAACCTCTCCCTCAACGTGACCAAGACAAAGGAGATTATTGTGGACTATAGGAAAAAGAAAAGGACCGCGCACGCCCCCATTCTCATTAATGGGGCTGTGGTGGAGCAGGTTGAGAGCTTCAAGTTCCTTGGTGTCCACATCACCAACAAACTATCATGGTCCAAACACACCAAGACAGTCATGTAGAGGGCACAACAAAGCCTATTCCCCCTCAGGTGACTGAAAATATTTGGTATGGGTCCACAGATCCTCAAAAAGTTCTACAGCTGCACCATTGACTGGTTGCATCACCGCCTGGTATGGCAACTGCTCGGCCTCCGACCGCAAGGCACTACAGAGGGTAGTGCGTAGGGCCCAGTACATCACTGGGGCCAAGCTTCCTGCCATCCAGGACCTCTATACCAGGCGGTGTCAGAGGAAGGCCCTAAAAATTGTCAAAGACTCCAGCCACCCTAGTCATAGACTGTTCTCTCTGGTACCGCATGGCAAGCGGTACCAGAGTGCCAAGTCTAGGTCCAAAAGGCTTCTTAACAGCTTTTACCCCCAAGACATAAGTCTCCTGAACAGCTAATCCAATGGTTACCCGGACTATTTGCATTGCCCCCCCGCCTCTTTTACGCTGCTGCTACTCTCTGTTTATTATCTATGCATAGTCACTTTAACTTTACCCACATATACATATTACCTCAATTACCTCGACTAACCTGTGCTCCCGCACATTGACTCTGTACCGGTACCCCCTCTATATAGCCTCGCTACTGTTATTTTACTGCTGGCCTTTAATTTTTTTTTTTTTTTTTTTCAATTTTTTACTTAACACTTATTTTTTCTTAAAACTGCATTGTTGGTTAAGGGCTTGTAAGTAAGCATCTCACTGTAAGGTCTACACCTGTTTTATTCGGCAAATGCATTTGATTTGATTTGAAGTGTCAGGTCATTGGCGAGCATTCAGAGGTCGGCAGGAGGGGGAGTGAGAGAGAGACTCTCACATGGATAATGTTATGGACAATTCCATTAAAATGTACCTCTATATGAGAAAGCCCTGCCTCCAACTGTTTGCTTAGAAATTCTAGGCCTGCATCTTGTTACAAAGAATGACTTGATCTCTCTCCCCTCACCCTTTCCTCCCTCTATCTGTCTCTCCCTCTCTCTGTCCCTCCTTCCTCGCTCTCCACTCCAGATTGGTTCTCTGCACCATGGTCTTGGCTGTGTTCTGTCCCTGCCCCACCGCAGGCTGGTGTGTTACTGCAGACTTTTTGAGGTTCCAGACCCCGACAAGCCTCAGAAACTGGGTCTGCACCAGAGAGAGATCTTCCTCTTCAATGACCTGGTGGTGGTACGTACTATAGAACTGTCTTGCTCTAACTCTTCCTCTAGTGGCTTCTCACCCAGGAGAAGCTCTTCAATCCTGGTCATTTGGACCCACAGCGTGTTCATATTGTTGTTTCTGATGTACAGAGGGAACATTAGTCTGTTTATGAAGGGTGACCAAGACCGGACTGAGTCCTGAATCTGTCCCCCACCAGGTGACAAAGATCTTCCAGAAGAAGAAAACCTCTGTGACATACAGCTTCAGACAGTCCTTCTCTCTGTATGGGATGCAGGTGCTGCTGTTTGAGAACCAGTGTAAGTATCTACTGCTGTGATGTTTCTGTGTCTATTATTAAACCCTCTGGTGGCCCTATGAGTGCTGAAACTATTATTAAACCCTCTGTGACTGCCCTATGAGTGTTGAAACTTACTTTCTGTTAAATGTTAATTTTCTTGTGATGTCATCCCTTTTCAGACTATCCCAATGGTGTGCGGTTAACGTCGGCGGTTTCCGGAGCGGATATCAAGGTTTTGATCAACTTCAACGCTCCCAACCTTCAGGATAGGAAGAAGTTCACTGAGGACCTGAGAGAGTCCATCGCTGAGGTCCAGGAGATGGAGAAATACCGCATAGAGTGTGAGTAGTGGAAACACCTGCGTTTGAACCTGCATCTCAAGACTGGGTTAGCCTGGGTTAGCCTGGGCTAGACTGGGTTAGCCTGGGTTAGCCTGGGTTAGCCTGGGTTAGCCTGGGTTAGCCTGGGTTAGCCTGGGTTAGACTGGGTTAGCCTGCTGGGGAAAAAAGTAAGATGGCGCTTACAGACATGGCAGCTCTGCTCCTAAGCAACTTTGCAGTATTTTGTTTTTTGTGTGTTATTTCTTACATTATTAGCCCAGAACATTTATTGTGTTATTACATACAGCCGGAAATAACCTTTGGATATCAGAGCGGCGGTAACTCACCAGCATTACGACCAGGAATTTCCCGAATTGGATGCTTTGTTCGTACCACCCAGGGCATTTGAACTTATCCCAGAGGCTGCTCCAAGTCGCCACCGGTGGAGAAGAGGTATTCGGAGTGGACTTCTAGTCCGACTCAGGAGGCGGGCACACCATCCACCGCATACGAGGATATTACTCGCTAATGTTCAGTCTCTGAACAATAAAGTAGATGAGCTCAAGGCGAGGGTCTCCTTCCTGTAACATACTCTGTTTCACAGAATCATGTCTCTGGATATACTGTCCCCGTCCATACAGCCAGTTGGGTTCTCAGTTCATCACGCAGACAGGAATAAAGAACTCTCCGGGAAGAAGAAAGGCGGGGGTGTATGCTTCATGATTAACTACTGGTGTGATTGTGATAACATACAGAAACTCAAGTCCTTTTATTCACCGACCTAGAATACCTCACAATCAAATGCCGACCGTATTACCTCCCAAGAGAATTCACTTCGGTTATAGTCACAGCCGTGTATATTCCCCCTCAAGCCGATACCACGACAGCCCTCAAGGAACTACACTGGACTTTATGCAAACTGGAAACCACATATCCTGAGGCCGCATTTATTGTAGCTGGGGATTTTAACAAAGCAAATTTGAGGAAAAGGCTACCGAAGTTCTACCAACACATTGACTGTAGTACTCGCTTAGGGAAAACACTAGATCACTGCTACTCGCCTTTTCATGATGCCTACAAGGCCCTCCCCCGCCCTCCCTTCAGAAAATCAGATCACGACTCCATTTTGCTCCTCCCTCCCTATAGACAGAAACAGGAACAGGAAGTACCCGTGCTAAGGTCTATTCAACGCTGGTCTGACCAATCAGAATCCATGCTTCAAGATTGTTTTGATCACACGGACTGGGATATGTTCCGGGTTGCCTCTGAGAATAACATTGACACTTACACGGACACGGTGACTGAATTCATCAGGAAGTGTATAGAGGAAATTGTTCCCACGGTGACTATTAAAACCTAACCAAACCAGAAACCGTGGATACATGGCAGCATTTGCGCAAAACTGAAAGTGTGAACCACCACATTTAACCATGGCAAGGTGACTGGGAATATGGCTGAATGTGTAGTTATTCCATCCGTAAGGCAATCAAACAGGCAAAATGTCAGCACAGAGACAAAGTGGAGTCGCAATTCAATGGCTCAGACACAAGACGTATGTGGCAGGGTCTACAGACAATCACGGATTACAAAGGGAAGACCAGCCACGTCGCGGACACCGACGTCTTGCTCCCAGACAAGCTAAACACCTTCTTTGCCCACTTTGAGGAAAACACAGTGGCACCGCCGCGGCCCGCTCCCAAGGACTGTGGACTCTCGTTCTCTGTGGCCGACTTGAGTAAGACATTTAAGCGTGTTAACCCTCGCAAGGCTGCCGGCCCAGATGGCATCCATAGCCGCGTCCTCAGAACATGCACTGACCAGCTGGCTGGAGTGTTTACGGACATATTAATTCTCTCCCTATCCCAGTCTGCTGTCCACACTTGCTTCAAGATGTCCACCATTGTTCCTGTACCCAAGAAAGCAAAGTTAACTGAACTAATTGACTATCGCCCCTTAGAAATCACTTCTGTCATCATGAAGTGCTTTGAGAGGCTGGTTAAGGATCATATCACCTCTACCTTACCTGACACCCTAGACCCACAATTTGCTTACTGCCCGCCCTGTGCAACTGGGTCCTGGACTTCCTGACGGGCCGCCCCCAGGTGGTGAAGGTAGGAAACAACATCTCCACTTTGCTGATCCTCAACACTAGGGCCCCACAAGGGTGCGTGCTCAGCCCCCTCCTGTACTCCCTGTTCACCCATGACTGCGTGGCCAAGCACGCCTCCAACTCAATCATCAAGTTTGCAGATGACACAACAGTAGTTGGCTTGATTACCAACAATGACGAGACCGCCTACAGGGAGGAGGTGAGGGCCCTGGCAGAGTGGGGCCAGGAAAATAACCTCTCTCTCAACGTCAACAAAACGAAGGAGCTGATTTTGGACTTCAGGAAACATCAGAGGGAGCACGCTCCTTTCCACATCGACGGGACCGCAGTGGAGAAGGTGGAAAGCTTCAAGTTCCTCGCTGTACACATCACTGACAATCTGAAATTGTCCACCCACACAGACAGTGTGGTGAAGAAGGCGCAACAGAGGCTGAAGAAATTCGGCTTTACAGATGCACAATTGAGAGCATCCTGTCGGGCTGTATCACCGCCTAGTACGGAAACTGCACCGCCCGCAACCGCAGGGCTGTCCAGAGGGTGGTGCGGTCTGCCCAACGCATCACCGGGGGCACGCTGCCTGCCCTCCAGGACACCTACAGCACCCGATGTCACAGGAAGGCCAAAAAGATCATCAAGGACATCAACCACCCGAGCCACGGCCTGTTCACCCCGCTATCATCCAGAAGGCGAGGTCAGTACAGGTGCATCAAAGCTTGGGCCGAGAGACTGAAAAACAGCTTCTATCTCAAGGCCATCAGACTGTTAAATAGCCATCGCTAGCCGGGTACCACCCGGCTACTCAACCCTGCACCTTAGAGGCTGCTGCCCTATATACATAGACATGGAATCACTGGCCACTTTAATAATGTTTACATACTGCTTTACTCATCTCATATGTATATATTGTATTCTATTCTACTGTATTTAGTCAATGCCACCCCGACATTACTAGTTTATATACATTTATATATTTCTTAATTCCATTCTTTTACTTTTAGATGTGTGTGTATTGTTGTGAATTGTTAGATACTACTGCGCTGTTGGAGCTAGAAACACAAGCATTTCGCTACACCTGCAATAACATCTGGTAAATATGTGTATGTGACCAATAACATTTGATTTAAACTGAACCTCAAGACTGGGTTAGCCTGCTGAGCCAAAGCCTTAAAGAAGTACAGGATAAAATGCGTGTCCTTGTGCTAACCCAGTCTTGAGGTTTAGTTGAGGAGAGCTTGACTCCATCACTATTGGTCTTTGTGCGGGGTATTGATGTGTTGAAGGTACCGAACCGTCTGTTCAAGCAGTTGGCACACAGTTCGGATACTCATCGGTACAACACAAGACATGCCACCAGAGGTCTCTTCATAGTCCCCAAGTTTAGAACAGATGTTGGGAAAGTATTAAACAGAGCCATGACTACATGGAGCTCTCTGCCACCCCAGGTAACTCCAGCTAGCAGTATTAAATAGAGCCATGACTACATGGAGCTCTCTGCCACCCCAGGTAACTCCAGCTAGCAGTATTAAATAGAGCCATGACTACATGGAGCTCTCTGCCACCCCAGGTAACTCAAGCTAGCAGTATTAAATAGAGCCATGACTACATGGAGCTCTCTGCCACCCCAGGTAACTCCATCTAGCAGTATTAAATAGAGCCATGACTACATGGAGCTCTCTGCCACCCCAGGTAACTCCAGCTAGCAGTATTAAATAGAGCCATGACTACATGGAGCTCTCTGCCACCCCAGGTAACTCCAGCTAGCAGTATTAAATAGAGCCATGACTACATGGAGCTCTCTGCCACCCCAGGTAACTCCAGCTAGCAGTATTAAATAGAGCCATGACTACATGGAGCTCTCTGCCACCCCAGGTAACTCCAGCTAGCAGTATTAAATAGAGCCATGACTACATGGAGCTCTCTGCCACCCCAGGTAACTCCAGCTAGCAGTATTAAACAGAGCCATGACTACATGGAGCTCTCTGCCACCCCAGGTAACTCAAGCTAGCAGTATTAAATAGAGCCATGACTACATGGAGCTCTCTGCCACCCCAGGTAACTCCAGCTAGCAGTATTAAATAGAGCCATGACTACATGGAGCTCTCTGCCACCCCAGGTAACTCAAGCTAGCAGTATTAAATAGAGCCATGACTACATGGAGCTCTCTGCCACCCCAGGTAACTCAAGCTAGCAATAAAACCAGTTAAAAAACCAGATAAAATAACACCTGACTGCACAAAGGGGCCTGAAGAGACACAGCCATTTGATATATCTGGTATTGTAATATACACTGTACTATCTATTAGACCTATATAGTGTGTGTATGTACTGATATGTAGGCTATGTGTGATGTTTTAAATGTATGTATTTCAGTCCTTGACTAATAATGTTCTGTACTATGTATTATGTTGTGTTTCATCTGGACCCCAGGAAGAGTAGCTGATGCTTTTGCAGCGGCTAATGGGGATTCTAATAAATACCAAATAAGTTCATTTGATTCTGTAAGTTCATTTGATTCTATAAGTTAACGTTACTTGATTCTGTAAGTTCATTTGATTCTATAAGTTAACGTTACTTGATTCTGTAAGTGAATTTGACTTGATTATGTCACTATAATGAAGCTGGAGAAGCAGAAGGGCGTGGTCCGTCCCACCCTATCACAGAGCTCAGGGCTGACTGACAGGTCCCAGAGTCTATCACAGAGCTGTAATCTAACCTGACTCTGTGTCCCCCTCTAGCGGAGCTGGAGAAGCAGAAGGGCGTGGTCCATCCCAGCCTATCACAGAGCTCAGGGCTGAAGAAGGACTCTGGGAACGGCCAATTGGGTCGCGGCAGCCTGGATGACACCTACGCCATGGGGGAGGGGCTAAAGAGGGGCGCCCTCAGCAGCTCGCTACGAGACCTCTCAGACGCAGGTAAGGGGTTAGAGGTCAGGGGACTTCCCTGTGACATCCTAGAGGTCACCAACCTGCCTAGTGCTCTGCCCTGTCCCATCCTAGAGGTCACCAACCTGCCTCTGCCCTGTGACATCCTAGAGGTCACCAACCTGCCTAGTGCTCTGCCCTGTCCCATCCTAGAGGTCACCAACCTGCCTCTGCCCTGTGACATCCTAGAGGTCACCAACCTGCCTCTGCCCTGTGACATCCTAGAGGTCACCAACCTGCCTATGCTCTGCCCTGTCCCATCCTAGAGGTCACCAACCTGCCTCTGCCCTGTCCATCCTAGAGGTCACCAACCTGCCTCTGCCCTGTCCCATCCTAGAGGTCACCAACCTGCCTCTGCCCTGTGACATCCTAGAGGTCACCAACCTGCCTCTGCCCTGTCCCATCCTAGAGGTCACCAACCTGCCTTGCTGCCCTGTCCCATCCTAGAGGTCACCAACCTGCCTCTACCCTGTGACATCCTAGAGGTCACCAACCTGCCTCTGCCCTGTCCCATCCTAGAGGTCACCAACCTGCCTCTGCCCTGTCCCATCCTAGAGGTCACCAACCTGCCTCTGCCCTGTCCCATCCTAGAGGTCACCAACCTGCCTCTGCCCTGTGACATCCTAGAGGTCACCAACCTGCCTAGTGCTCTGCCCTGTCCCATCCTAGAGGTCACCAACCTGCCTCTGCCCTGTGACATCCTAGAGGTCACCAACCTGCCTCTGCCCTGTGACATCCTAGAGGTCACCAACCTGCCTAGTGCTCTGCCCTGTCCCATCCTAGAGGTCACCAACCTGCCTCTGCCCTGTCCCATCCTAGAGGTCACCAACCTGCCTCTGCCCTGTCCCATCCTAGAGGTCACCAACCTGCCTCTGCCCTGTGACATCCTAGAGGTCACCAACCTGCCTCTGCCCTGTCCCATCCTAGAGGTCACCAACCTGCCTCTACCCTGTGACATCCTAGAGGTCACCAACCTGCCTCTGCCCTGTCCCATCCTAGAGGTCACCAACCTGCCTCTGCCCTGTCCCATCCTAGAGGTCACCAACCTGCCTCTACCCTGTGACATCCTAGAGGTCACCAACCTGCCTCTGCCCTGTCCCATCCTAGAGGTCACCAACCTGCCTCTGCCCTGTCCCATCCTAGAGGTCACCAACCTGCCTCTGCCCTGTCCCATCCTAGAGGTCACCAACCTGCCTCTACCCTGTCCCATCCTAGAGGTCACCAACCTGCCTCTACCCTGTCACCAACCTGCCTAGTGCTCTAATTTAAGGCTGCAATGGCACCCTATTCCTCTCATAGGACCAAAGGTAGGACATTACTATATAGGGAATAGGGTGCCATTTCAGATGTATCCTAGTTACATGTTACCTAGTCCTATGTTACTAGCCTTATGTAGGTGTGAAATGAAGAGCTAGTCAGATTCCTCCTCTGGGCCAGTAGCGGCTGTAGGTGACTGGTCAGGTGAAGTACAGTCTGTCCCGAGTCTCAGTTTAACAAGGCGTCTAGAGTTACTAGTACTACTAGGGTCTCAGTGTGGACTAGAGACCGATGGATGTGGTGACTAACGGACATTACTTAATGTTCTATTGTTCATCCAGGTAGAGCCTATAAAATGTTGCCACACATCCCCTGTTCTATCTGAAACGGGTAGCTGAGCTACTGCCCTGTTAGCATCAGCTGAGCTACTGCCCTGTTAGCATCAGCTGAGCTACTGCCCTGTTAGCATCAGCTGAGCTACTGCCCTGTTAGCATCAGCTGAGCTACTGCCCTGTTAGCATCAGCTGAGCTACTGCCCTGTTAGCACCAGCTGAGCTACTGCCCTGTTAGCACCAGCTGAGCTACTGCCCTGTTAGCACCAGCTGAGCTACTGCCCTGTTAGCACCAGCTGAGCTACTGCCCTGTTAGCATCAGCTGAGCTACTGCCCTGTTAGCACCAGCTGAGCTACTGCCTGTTAGCATCAGCTGAGCTACTGCCTGTTAGCATAGCTGAGCTACTGCCCTGTTGCATCAGCTGAGCTACAGCCCTGTTTAGCATTCAGCTGAGCTAGCTGCACCTGTTAGCATCACTGAGTACTGCCCGTTAGCAATCAGTGAGCTACTGCCCTGTTAGATCAGCTGAGCTATGCACTGTTAGCATCGTGAGTACTGCCCTGTTAGCTCAGCCTGAGCTCTGCCTGTTAGCACATTTGATGAATGAACCTGAGTGTCCCTGTTCTAGTCAGACTTCAGTCACCTGCCTCTGATTCTTCTGACACCATGTTCAATCTCTTAACATTTACTTCTCTGCTTTTGGTTAGCAGAGAAGTTGATTTTCATCAGAGTACTTGATGTTTTGGGAATTCAAAGCCCAACCTACTGCTATAGCAGTCTGGTAATGTTGGCCAGAACTGATCTGGCGTCGCTGTGCTCTAGTCACATCTTATTCTTAGTTCATCACCTAATCTTTTTTCACAGAACACATTTTTTGTACATTTTAGTCATTTAGCAGACACTCTTATCCAGAGCAACTTACAGTTAGTGAGTGCATACATTATTTTTTTATTTTTCATACTGGCCCCCCGTGGGAATCGAACCCACAACCTTGGCATTGCAAACGCCATGCTCTACCAACTGAGCTACATCCCTGCCGGCCATTCCCTCCCCTACCCTGGACGAATTGTGCGCCACCCCATGGGTCTCCCGGTCACGGCCGGCTATGACAGAGCCTGGATTCGAACCAGGATCTCTAGTGGCACAGCTAGCACTGCGATACAGTGCCTTAGACCACTGCGCCACACCAGAAGTATCCTGCCAGTTCTGACTCCCGTTGCTCCATAGTATCTATTTAGTATAGTGTGGGAGTATGCTAGCTGTATACTGCTCTCTCCCTTCTGTGCTAACTTCCCTCCTGTCTCTCCCTCTCTCCTGTGACCCCAACCTCTCCATTAGACTGGTTCTAGCTAGTTGTCACAATGCCCCCTAGTGGCAACTAGGCAGACGTATGTTCCCCAGCAGGAAAACTAAAACTTTCACTCAAACAGAAGCGGGAACTAACAAAGTCACTGACCAACAACCAAAACGAAACAGGTACGGGTTCTAGGAGGGGTTCTGAAAGACACTCATGGGGTGTCCACTGGAGGTTGGCTAGCAACAACACCTGGAACCTAAAAGACACCCACCATGAGACCCACTATATTTGCCCACTAACAGCCAAACAAAATAAAAACCCCAAACCTAAAGACAGGGAGCAAAACAAAATGGTAGAGCAAAACAAAACCATGGAAGATCAGACAAAGGAATGTTTTTCTATAAATAAAATAGGGAGACAACTGAAGGTGTTAACCCTCTGCATCTATCAAGACAACTGAAGGTGTTAACCCTCTGCATCTATCAAGACAACTAAAGGTGTTAACCCTCCACATCTATCAAGACAACTAAAGGTGTTAACCCTCTGCATCTATCAAGACAACTAAAGGTGTTAACCCTCCGCATCTATCAAGACAACTAAAGGTGTTAACCCTCCACATCTATCAAGACAACTAAAGGTGTTAACCCTCGCATCTTCAAGACAACTAAAGGTGTTAACCCTCCACATCTATCCAAGACAACTAAAGGTGTTAACCCTCCACATCAGAAACTAAAGTTAACTCCATTATCAGACAACTAAGGTTTAACCCCATCTCAAGAACTAAAGGTGTACCCTCCATGCTCAGACATAAAGGTGTTACCTCATCGTAATAATGTAGTCATAACATGCCATTGCAGACGTTTATCCAAGCGACTACAGTCATGCGTGCATACATTATGTTTGTGTATGGTGTCCGGATCGAACATACTTGGCGGTCAGCGCGTGCTCTACGATAAGACACTCCAAAGTGTAACCCTCTGCCTCAGACAACTGGAGCATGGGCACACTAAATAAACGGGCCAGCACAGGTGAAACACCTCCCCACTAACGAGATGGCAACAAGCACAGGTGAAACACCTTCCCACTAACGAGACGGCAACAAGCAGAGGTGAAAGACCTTCCCACTAACAAGATAGCAACAAGCACAGGTGAAAGACCTTCCCACTAACGAGATAGCAACAAGCACAGGTGAAAGACCTTCCCACTAACGAGATAGCAACAAGCACAGGTGAAAGACCTTCCCACTAACGAGATAGCAACAAGCACAGGTGTAACACATGCTGACTAACAAGGTGACACCAATCGGTGCGCCCTACATGCTAATGAGCTATAAGTCCAACCTCAAAACATACATGGAAAAACAAAAACCTATATTTTTGTTGGATAAGTTTGCTCACCACCAACAAAAAACTACTTCCATCTCACAACATGATCAACTTAAATGCGTCGACTTCTCCAAAATAAACATGGCCTCTACTGGCTGTCAACAATAAGGTATGTTTTTATAACTCCCATGCCCTTGGAACAAGCCCAAACAAATCAAAACTCATCTCCAAAAAGGCAAAATGTACAGTCAAAATAAATAGTGAGCCAGGGCTACACACTGGCTAAACACCAAACACCAAACGTATTGACTGCCCACCCACCACTGGCTAAACACCAAACACCAAACGTATTGACTGCCCACCCTTGAAAGACAGTCAGCAACCAAGTTCTCCTTACCACGGACGTGTCTGATTTCAAGGGGAAACTCCTGCAATATAAGACTCCAGCAAAGGAGTTGGCGATTTGTGGACCTCATCTTTTGCAGGAAAACGAGAGGGTTATGATCGGTATAGACCACCAGAGGGGTAGAGAAGCGCTGAAGAGCCAGGACCAAAGTGAGCGTCTCCTTCTCGATAGTCGAGTAGTGTTTTTGATATGAGGCCAATTTCTTTGAAAAGTATCCTACAGGTTGTTCAACGTTGTTATTGTCTTTCTGTAGGAGCACAGCCCCTGCTTCTGTGGAGGAAGATTCCAAATCTTTAATGAAGAAAAAACTGCAGTACCAATCTTGCCCTGCACGTCATGGGTATCCTCCCTTCTAGCTCAAGAAGCCCACAAGACAAATCATGAAGACATCGCAGGCACACTCCTCCGGATGAGAAGGAAAGCGTGGGAGGTAAGAGGCCGGAAACTAGCTCAAAATATCGTGGATAACTGTGTGACATGCAGGAAACTTAAGGCCCGGAGATGCCAACAGATCATGAGTGACCTTCCATCTGAGAGAATAACACCAGCCAATCCCTTTGAGTACACCACAGTGGACTTATTTGGACCTTATGAAGTGAAGGATGAGGTGAGAAAGAAGGTGAAACTTAAGGTGTGGGGAATTGTCTTTTGCTGCATGGTGTCAAGAGCTATGCACACAGACCTTGTCAGCGACCAGTCAGCTGAAGGCTTCCTGTTAGCCTACCAAAGATTTACGGCACTGAGAGGGCATCCAAGGAAATTGTGGTCGGATCCTGGAAAAAACTTTGTCGGAGCCAGACCTGCCCTCAAAGAACTCTACATGTTTCTGGACCGGCTGGAGAAGTCGAAGCTTGAAAACGACGTTTCCAAGCATGGCACAGAATGGAGCTGGAGGATCCATCCAGCAGACTCACCTCACAGAAACGGAGCTGCTGAAGCCGCTGTCCGAACTGTGAAGCGGGCTTTACACAATCTGGGAGGTAATGGAGTCCTCACATGGGGGGAATTTCAGACTTTCCTTTATATGGCTTCCAACCTTGCCAATGAGCGGCCTATTGATGCCAGGACTCAGAGCAGAGAGGACTGTGTAGAATACATTAGCCCAAATTCACTTCTACTCGGACGGACCGGACCCAGAGGAGATCCAGGGACCTTTGACTTTGAAGGTTACTCCTACAAGAGATTAAGAACCATCCAAACAGAAGTTGACCGATTCTGGAGGAAATGGAGTCAGTTAGCCGGACCAAACCTGTTTGTCCGGACCAAGTGGCACACCGCTCACAGGAATGTGGCAATTGGAGATGTCGTCTGGCTGGCCGACCAGAACGCCTTGAGAGGTCAGTACAGGCTTGCCAGAGTTATTGACGTTAACACTGACAAGAAGGGAATTGTGAGGGATGTATATCTCCGATCCTTCCCCAGCTACCCAGTCGCAACTGTGAAGCCCACTAAAAAGATGGAAAAAGCCTGAAAGACTGGGAAGAATGGGTCCCACACGATGAGACTGCAGATCTGAAAGGCAGAGTAAAAGATCTGAGAATATTCGGCAGTAACCTCGAGGCCAAAAGAACAGAATTCCTCATCGCACAGAGAATTGCAGAAGAGGACAGAAGACCTACAGAGCTTCAACCAAGAGCA